AAAAACTTCAGTCTCTCGACCATATTTCTTTTCCCGATCGTAAAGTCTTATAGTCTTTGAAATGCGCGTATCGAAAAAGAATCGCAGGGTTGCTTTTATGGCGTCTTTTCACAGATTCTTGTCTGTACTTTCACATAATAGACTCTTACTAAACCCAATCGAGAAAAAGGCCATTCTGCCAGAACTCTCAAGTTTTTTCGTGAGAATTTGGAAATTTCGTTTATTTTCAAATCGTTCGATCTTGCCATCTGATACACTATCGTATCATGAGTATGGTTATTATCTTAAACGAATAATTTACTTTAACGCTCAAGTTCATCTTTGTTCAACAGTAAAGTGAGGTAGCGTAACCTGGCCGTTTTAACTCTGGCGTTCAATTGCTTTATAATTAAAAAAATTTTCCGAAAATCACTTAACTGATGATAAATTTAATACCGTGTTTAGGACTAACGATAAAATCTAAAATCCCTTTGTTAAGACGTGATAGGTTTTGTGTTTTTCACCATTATTTGGACTTTTTTTTGTAACTCAGTTATATTTTTACGTTAATTCCAATGTAAAAATCTCTAGCTTGAAAGTAAACAACTTAGTAATCGCGTACTGCCCTAGTTCAGTTAACGTAAAAAACTCCATCCATATTTTAGAAGAATTATGATTATTTGTATAAGTACTAGATTTTTTGTTATTATTTGGTTTTTACGTATTCCTATATTAGTATGTCTTTACCAACTTACTCAATTTTTTCTTGATTTCCGTTTTTTTCAAGTATGAGAGTTTTTCGTGTGGGCTTCTTGCAAAATTACCGTCAGACAACTTGGTCATTACTGGCTGCTATTTACAGATCATTTGAAACATACCCTAGCTGTTATCAGATAGAACGGAATGATTTCCATTGTATATTTACACTTCATTTACAGCCTTACTCACCGTACTAACCTTTTAAAATTGATGGTGACTTTAACCACGAGCCATCTTCTTCAATAGAGGAGCTTTAAAATATCTAGGGATCATTGAAAAATCTTGATTCCTTTTGTTTAATTCTAGATAAATGGTGTTTGGGAGTTTACGTACTAATCTTGTAGATGAAACTTAGGTGAAACATTTTGATGGCAACTCATAATTTAATTATTATTATGATAACATCTTCATTGTTATTCATTCATTTAGCTTAGTTCATTCTTGCATCACAAAGTTACCTTTATCCTTCACATAAAATGATCTTAATCGTTTTTGTTACATGATTGTGCATCTTAGGAAGATAGATTAACTGTATATTTATAAATGTAAAACAAAGTATTTTATAAGCAGTTTTTAAGGATTACTAGTAAAAAAGATCTGGTGTGGGTCTCAGGAATCCCGGCATAAGCGAAACTTCTAAGTATTCAGTTATTAAGCTGAAATTTGCATAATCTTAGGCACATTTTTTTGAATTTTAAGATACAAATAGTATGTATTAAAAAAAATTTAAACTTCTGAACGTAAATAAAGAAAAAATATAAAAAATAATATTCCTAACCGTAAAAACTCTTCTATGTATATTTTAATGTGAAATTCCTATCATTTAACTTACTCTAAAACTCTACTTGATACGATATCACTCTTTCTCTTAGCTTTTCCATAATACAAAAAATGTAGGGGTTGTGGAAAGCTGCAAATGTATACTGAAGCACACAAGCATTTCCGTTAGTAGCACAATAAGCAACAACATTTTTGAACTTAATAGTGCAGGCTATTGCCGAGATCCTTCTGGTCCTCCGGAAATTGGTTATAAACTTACTACAGATGCACAACATGATATTGAATACAATAGACTGCATAATGGCTGCTGCTGTTNATATATTAATACACAAATTATCAATTGAAAAGCAGAATAAAACAGCTTTCCACCAATTTTTAAGAAGAATTCATAAATATTTAATGGATGGCCAAATTGATCTCGATTTCGAGTCATCAGCTTCTGTCGATAACAAACCGTAACACAGAAGCAGGAATGTATGTTCTCTCACTTGCACTCGCATAGGCTTAAAGCTAATCCTGTAATTTCAAGAGTTTATGTATACGCAGCCTTATAATGTATAGTTACCAACAGGAGCTGACGGCGCAAAATTTCAATTTGAAAAGTAAACACGCTATGGTCCATCAGTTTACTTTTTCATTATGTAATTTTTACTTAGGTCTTATTGTTATAAATAACAATAATTCAAATTTTACGGTTCCCGAATAAAGTCGAGGCGTGTGTATCTTGCCATACCCTTAAGTGTTGATTGCTATTCCAAGAAAAAAAAAGAAAAAAAAAAAACAACATTTTGAATGAGTAATTGTGTGACGCTCTGAGTCACTACCAATGAGAATCGACAGTGATTTTGAATTAACGGTTATTTGGAATGCACTTAACGTATTTCTTAAAAAATCATATTTTTAATACAAATTTTTGTCGTAGATTAGTGTTTTATTGATGTTTATTACATACAATTGAATTTTCCATGATAAATGCTATGCTCATCATTTATCAGGTACCTTATCAGGTATTTTTGAGTTTACTTATTTTGACGTTTGTACATATATATTTCTTCATAAAAATTTAATAGAAAAATACTATACAAATGCCTGAATTCCGAAGCCAGTGAGTTGGTAAAAAAGAAACGAGAAATAATTTTTTTTCGTAGATTACAACGTTTATATTTTTCCAAGAGCTGCTTTGAATTTTTTATTTTTGTAGCTATGAATGATTATTTCTTTTGATCTTATTCCCAATTATTACATGTAGTTTTATTTATGAGAAGAGCTATGCTTTCACCAGGTATTTTCAAACTCACGTGTTTTAATGTTTGTATTTTTATTCTTAAAAAATGTTATTAAAAATACTTTGATAATACCTTAATTCTAAAGCCACTGCTTTCTTACGGAATGAAGAGAAAGAATAGAGGAAAAATGAAAATATATTACTTACTTTTTTTAAACGTTAGTGGTTATTAGCAACGTAGACGCGCAGTCCATGTGCTATTGCTATAAAGAGTTTTGACATTCATGTACACACAATTAAACAGTAGTTCCTGACTGCTTCTTCGTATGCGCATGCGCGTTACACTCTCCAGAGCGTGTGTTCCCCTGCTTCTCGCTCTCTGCTCTCCCCTCGCCACTAAGAAACGGATGGACACTTAAGCGTTGCATCAGCTGGTTCTACTCACCGCTTAACTTTCATCAGTGTGCTGAAAAAGTTTTACTTAAATAATTAAAAAGTTGTATGTACTTTAAAAGACTTGTTAAGATAGTGAAATCATGCAGACGTTGTTAGTAGAAAATAACTTCAGGTTAGAGGTAAGCTCGTAAATGTCAAAGTAGTTTTAAGATAGATATCGAAACTATGGTGAAGATACTTTTTGAAAAACAAGTACTTAGTTGCAAATTTTTTATAAGACAGATGTAAAATAATTTACCGAATGAAAAATAAAACAAAAACACCAAAGCTATGGTTAATAACATTAAAAATCCAAACATAAGGTTCAACTGGGATTACATATTTGGGATTTTAATTACAAGTCACCGTTGTGGAATTGAAAAGCCATCCAAAAAAAATTGAGTTTACAGACTGACATAGTACTGTTACATTCTAAGTTGATACAGACAAATTATACAAGAAGTAAAAAACGCAATTAATTCATTAAATCATACAACACGAAATGTGTATATATACACTATCTCATATGATGAGTGGAGCTTATACGTCACTGATATGCGTGCGCGCGTGTGTGTGTTAACTTTAAAGTAAACATTTTAAAATATGCTGACATATAATGTGACCAGCCACGTTGTAAGAATGCAAGTATGTATTGAAATTGTACGTTATATATATGAATGCATAAATTATTTTGTATGCATGAACGAATAACTTACTTGCGCATTGATTGTCCATTTCTAATTATGTGTACCAATTTAAAAATTGTAATTAACACATAATTTCATTATATTCAAAATTGATGGTTAGATCCCTAAAAGGATTCATTGAGAAATTTGTAAATTTGTTTGTCACACTTAAACTTGTAATTGGTGTTTCTTTTATTGTTGATGCGAGCTTGTATCATCACTGATCCAAAAATCTTAATCGCACTTGTTATAAAAACGTGATTGGTACTGTTGCATTGTTATTTCCTAATACATGAAATCATAACATAAAGCATCATCGTGCCAGCCTATTGTTCTGCTGTCATCGCAGTCTGCAAGAATATTGCTTATTGGTTGGCCTAATTTAACCAAAGGCCTCTTTTATTACTCTGACGCTATAAAAAACGCACCATTGAGAGGAAAAATTGCTCTTTTTACATATGTCACCTGTTCTCTAATGTTCTAGTCTACTTTCGACTCCCACAACTTGTAAGTAACTTATACACGTAAGGCATAACGTGTTGGCTAAGGCAATTTAGGTGCATTTCAAGGACATTAATAGTATCGGAATACGTTAAGGTCAGAGGGACAGCAAAGGAGGCCCGCTAAAAGTGATACTAGAGTAAGCAGATATCGCAATATCCTTATGACTACAAACTCATTTGTGTAGTTTAAAGGATAATTAAAAAATACTGCACGAATCATAAGGGAACTCGAAAGCATTAGTTATAATAATCAATGACAGATATAAGTTATTTATCANCTATTATATGTAAATTAAAATGGTGGGATAGATGGAATAAACTATAAACTGCGTAAATAACTGTCTGATTACATATGTGAACTTTTCTCTCGTATACTTAATTTCTGTATCACACAATTCACGTAGCCTTATAGCTCAAAAGAAGCTGAAATATTACCCATATGTGAATCGAGAATCAAGTTGAAAATTATAGATCAATATCACTAATATCAAATTTTGCAAAGGTATTTAAAAGGTTTTTACATCACAGACTCAACATTTTTCAATAAATATAATAACAAAAAATTCATTCTTCATACTCTTGTATTTTAGTCATATTATGTTCTCTAACCCATAAAATTTTTGTTATTTCAAGGTTCTTCTTTGGGTTCTTATCATTCACGAGCAACATCATACTCTACGACATGCTCTGCTAATATTTCTTTTTTATCTCAACATTTATCAAGATCTCATAGTCCAATGTCAACAATATCTCGAAGTCAATCGCCATCCAATCCAATATATCCTTCACTAAATAACGTGATTCCAGGACATCTGACAAATCAATCTCGTTTGCATCCAAATTTTTCAGCTCCTGTATTGAATGAATTAGCATGCAAAGAGTGTTTATATAAAAGAAATCACACGATACATTCAGAACACTTGCTTGTTGAGATGACGAGGATAGAATTGTGCTTAGAACATGTTTGGACAGAAAGTGCCGCCGTATTACCGTAAGTAGCAAATAAAAAACCATATTATATTTCTTGTAAGGTAACTGTATAGTTAGTGCACCAAAGTTTGAAGTGATAAAATTTACTGAATTGGAATTTCTGTAGTTTGATGTGTTGTAAGCTACCTATTGCAAATGTTAAAAAATTATTTCAATGCTGAGCATTTCCAAACAATAATTTTCTATTTTTTCCCAATATGGTTATCGATAACTTTGAAAACACATAATTTTTTATGTAGAGTATTTATGTTCTCGCTTTAGCTTTGTTCTATTGAATATGCTATAAAAAAGTAAAAATAATTGCCTGATATCGAATTCTTGTAAAATTCCTGCTATTAAATAATTGTTAGATAAAAAGGTGGGTATGAGGACTGTGGGACAAGAATTCACTGAGTCACTCTGCTCTCAATTAAAACTGTTTATTTAACAAATCTTAAGTAGTCACAATCTTTACTATCTTAAGGTTCGAATATAAAACAATCAAGCACAAAGCAAAACAAAGTAAGTAATACAAAGACGTGTCTTTAAGCAAAAGGAAAATGTACGAGAGCGAGTGCGTCGACAGACTGACTGCGTGGGAAAAAGAAAGAGCTATAGGTTTTCGATGCTGCAGTGCAGCGTCGCAGCTTCTCGACTCCTTGCTACTACGTATGCGCTAAAGTTCAGTTACAAGCGCAAATCATATTTCTCACAATAATCATGTCTAAAATTTTGTTCACGCTCCTTCGTGTACTAGTATTAAATGACATTAATGTACCACAATCAAACAACAACATGCGTCAATACATAAACACGAGCAATGATATACATTAAAATATAATAAAGCGTGACCGTGGTTATTTTTATCTTGGGACTTTGAATGAGGATAAAAATATAAGTGATTTTATACTATATATAAATATAAAAACCTTATTGAGGATTATGAAAAAATAGAATTCTTCATGGAGAGACGTAAGACAAAACCATTGTTAATACTTTGCGCTGAATCGTAAAATCTTCATCATTATTAATTTTATAAAACAAAACGAGACCTTTTATTATAATTCTAGAAAAATACATAAAGTTGATGGAGTAGTCTTATACATAAATGACAAAATACAAAATCATACCACAATAATTAAAATAGATCAACTGAAAGTATCATACACATGCTTAAAACTTGATGATAATAGTAAAATAAAAACTTCCGCAACGTATAGATGTCATAATTTTCTACCCACTTAATTTATCCTAAATCTAAAAAAACGTTTGCTAAAAAAATATACAGAAAACTATCTAATAATTAGAAACTTTAATATAAACAGTAAAAAGCTGATACACTGACAAAAAATTTTCTTAACAGCTTGTTGGAAAATTAATGTTATCTGAATTTCACTGGTATGACTACGCCATTACATAATAATGGAACTGGCTCGTGTATTGATAATACTTCTATGAAAACTGACCGTTTAAAAGTGATACCTTATAAATTAGAGATTCTAATACCAGGACATTTTTGATTATTATTTGAAATAATTAAAGTCTGACATAGAACATTAAAAAACCATGCATGTTATCTTATTCAAAATAAACTTAGTTCAATAGCTGAAACTGTTGATTAAAATACAGTTCTATAGATTGAAGAGCCAAACAAAGCAATAAATACTGTAATCAATCATGTATAATATTACATGAAAAATACAATGTGCAAAGCATATGCAAATGGAAAAAAAACACATGATACTAAGGAAAACCTAGATTACTCGAGTGGCTATGGAATTTTGCATAAGAGAAGAAGTGTTAAACAACAAAATTAAAAATAACGAAGATATTTTTAGTATTATAAATACGTTTAAAAATAGAATACAATAATTATGTTGAAGTATTACGATAAATGATAAAAGACGCAAAAATGAAACATCAGAAAAATATAACGAATAAAAAATGCAACAAAGCAACTATGGGAACTTCTGAACTCTAAAGTCAGCAAAAAACTATCAGACAACAATAGTGCAATAAGTAGTATTTACGACAAACATAGAAAACAGTTACAGCACGAAGTTGGTAATACAAATTATCATTATAATCACCTGTGTAATGTAGATAAAGATTTAGGTGATAAGATTACTAAAGTATTAACTTCAATAAGACGTGTCTACTTCTGGTAAGAAAAGAAACAATTTTTGTACGACCTACTTATACACATGACGCAAAAACTATTATATGTAAATTAAAATGGTGGGATAGATGGAATAAACTATAAACTGCGTAAATAACTGTCTGATTACATATGTGAACTTTTCTCTCGTATACTTAATTTCTGTATCACACAATTCACGTAGCCTTATAGCTCAAAAGAAGCTGAAATATTACCCATATGTGAATCGAGAATCAAGTTGAAAATTATAGATCAATATCACTAATATCAAATTTTGCAAAGGTATTTAAAAGGTTTTTACATCACAGACTCAACATTTTTCAATAAAAACAAAAATTAGCTAGAACCAATTTTAATTTATAAAAGCTAGAGGAGTCAAAGATGCATTTAAAAACATTTTTATATCAATTTAAGGTAAGTTAGACCAAAGTAAGCCAACAACAATAACTTTTATAGATCTAGCAAAGGCTTTTAGTACGGTTAATCATAACACAGTGCTATAAAAGTTATACAACTATGGTATCAGAGCTACAGCACACATTATAAGAAAGTTTGCATAAAAATTATGATACCAAAAAGTACCAGGTGTCCCCTCTGCCATGAAATAAAAGTTAGCCCTAAAAACCCTTTAATTTTTACTTTTTCAAGTTATAGCAAATAAAAAAAATGATTTGTTGGAACTGTTAATATTCAAAACTGAGAAAAAATATGTAACATAAAAAACTTATTTTTCTTAATCCCAGAACTTTATTACCGGAGCAACCAAGTCCTGAAGCCTAATCTTACTATTTTTCTACGTCACGATGAATACAAATACATTTAATCCAAATCTTTTTAAAAAGCTGGTAGATTTAAGTTACTACTGTCAGGGTTATAATGAAAAGCTAATCTTTTAATGAATGGACTCTTTAGTTGGCGATTGTGACGCTGCTGTTTTAATCGCAAGAAATGTCTTCGTCGCTTTTTTGACACCTAAAATGGTATGAATTTAAAGCATTTGAAGTTTCCCTTCCAATCAGCCCTCTTACAACTGTAGGTATGGTTGAAACTTTTGTCAGTCCTAATTCCTGTTTTTTGTCAATTTTGTTAAGTTGTCATATATTTTTTCAGCAAGGTAATTTGACGTCTGATGGCCCTAAAAAGGACTAGTGAGCTGATCTTCATCTTGACTGAAGTTCCCCACGCATGTGACTGCCTGGATACCTTAGGGTGGTCTTGTGACCTGCTGTTGCAGCATCAAACTGATGGGAAGAAGAACCGCAATGCTTTAAAGCGTTAGAGCTAGTACTACTGCTCTTTCCTTACGTCTTCTAGTGTTATGCTGAAGATGTCAGTATCCAAAGCTCCTTCTTTTTTCGCAGAGCTTAGTTGCTTAAGTGATCCAAGGTAAGGAGATTGATTCGTGACGCTTGCCTATGGGAGACTGTCCCGTTTGCTCAAGCTTATTTCTTCTTTATACCTTTAATATCAGGTTTTCCTAGCGCAGACCTCGGAAAGATTTGGTGATTCCTGGTTAAATACTTAGAGTCAAGAGGGTTATGCAAGATTGTCGGTGGCTGGGTTCCCATCTTTGTGACGAAAAACTTTGCTTTTGACGTGCTAGAGTAGATGACTGACTGGATTCAATAGTGGCTGAATTTATTAGTGGCTGGATTTATATATTTTTGATGGACAAACCTTTGTTCAAAATAGTTGTTAATATATATGTGGCTGGCAAAGTAGTTAAACGTTTGATGGCACTAAAAAATGGGCCTAGAAAATACCTTTTCCTTGGATACTCCGATTTCCAGCTGATATTGCTGCCTGAACTACTTAGGGTGATTTTCCTTGGTTTGCCGTTGTAGCAACAGGTGTTCTAGTAGCACCAGTTTGTTTGGAAAAATGGCCATGAAACCCTGGAGTGTAAGAGCAGATTGGGCTCTGATAGGATATCTCCAGATGCTATACCAGAGACGTTGGCTTTCATAACGCTTTTCTTTCGTGGCACTCGGTTATCTTCAGCTTGAATCTAAGTAAAACCTTGATTTTACTTATTGCTTTTGTTATGCATTTTATTTTCATAAAAGAACCATACAAAAATTATTAAGAAAGTGTGTGACGCGGTAGCTAAAGCTACCACGACAATGTATACCTATATTTTTTAGTAAATCATCGGTGGCTACCGAGTCCTATAATAATGTACATATTTGCTATATATACTTTTGACACATTGATTAATGTGTGTTCTCGGTGCTGTAGACTACGAGCCAAGAGGAGGAAGAAGGACCGAAGGCAATGAAAAAGGTTGGTGTGAAGTATGGTAGAGTAAGTGTATGTGGGTAAGAGAGAGAAGGAGAGATGGATCAGCTCGCGACGCATCGGAGAAAGATCGAAGGCTAAGGCATCACGTCGAGAACCGAGTTTTTGAAACCTCCAATGATTTACTGGTTTTTAGGAGCGTTGGAGGTGGTGAGATGCAAAGGGAGGAGCATACGCACCAATGCAGACTTTGCATAGCGCAATCAATATCGTACGAGGCATCAGAGAGAGCAGAGTGCAGACATCAGAGTCGTGAGTTACCGAGAAAGTGACAGGTGAAAGGGATCGAGAGAGAGAGAGAGAGAGAGAGACTAGAACCAAAAGGTTGGACTTGGGGAAAGAGACGAAAAGAGAGCAGCTGCCTAGCGACCTGTTGAGAGTCGACCGTGCAGCCGGATTACCGCGACGATCAGGACTAGCTCCAGGTAGCGGCAGGTGGCCGTGAGAATAGTGAGAAGGTAGGTGTACTATACGCTAGGTGGTACACTGAGACAGAGCGTTGGGGACGATCCGTATGCATGGGAGTGAATGTGTGTGGGGTTATTGAAGGATAAGGTAATTAAATT